ATGAAATAGCTGTATATACTTGAATTTAAAAGGAACAGCAAAGAATGGATATTTAAAAAGAACATAAAAGAGTAAGTGAAACCCTGTAATTTTAGGCATTGTGCCTCAATGCCAGTTATTAAAGCTTATTGCTCATTAGCCTCAGGAAAAAATGTCAGTAGGAGGGCAGCTTGCAAGGCTGAGCTCTATGCTTTATGTTTTGCCTCTTATGGTTGCTCAAAACTACCTGAAGTTTCCAGGCCAAGGTTGTTTCTATACCAGCAGTGTCACTGCCTGGTTCTGTGCTGGGTCTGCAGGAGAACAGATGCCAAGCTGGGCCCTGCTTGGAGGCTTGTGTTCCTGCTGCACAGCCACCCCATAGGAAGCTGAGGTTCAGATGGGAGCTCAGTGCTGCATTTTGTCCCAACAGCAGCCCCCTGATGGCACCAGGGGGGCATCCATCACCCCACCTGCAGAGGTATGAGTTGCAGGTGCTGGAGTTGTTGATCATTTTGTCAACAAAACAAATAGCCCCACAGGAGCAGATCTGTCCCTTCATCTTTTCTTTGGAGGTGGTTACGCAAGGTGCAGCTTCTTTCTAGGAATAATTTTCCTTTCTTATAGTTCTCTCATTCCTGAGGAGTGCAGGGGCTGTAGAGGTGAGGCTGTTTTGATGAGGACTACATGAGCTGGTTTATAATATATTTAGTATTGTGCTATGTTCAGTCTTGCCTAGAAAGTAAGGGATGATTGTAGAAAGAAGATGGTAATATTTCATAGCAAGATTAATTCTGGTATTTTGAGGGTTTGCATAGGAAGAGGAGACTGCTGTGAAATAAAATGTGAGTGTAGCTGTGATAAAGGGACATTTACCCTGGTGTAGGGGTATCTCCTTGGTGTAGTTTCTTGCCACAAGCCCACCACCCAGATGCTACTTTTTGAGTAGCTGTGTTGTTCCAAGGTGCCACTGTCCAAACACACTCCCAGCTTGTTGCTCCCTATGTGCTGCTCCTCTGTGGGCACTCACTGTCCTGTCCAAGCACAAGGTGCTTGGGAGCTGCTTGTCCTGTGGTGTGAGTGGAAAAGGTGCCATGGCTGTACTGTGGGCAGGGATTTGTGATCCTGGAGGTCTGCAGAGGTGCTATGTGCTGCAGTCCAGTTGTCCAGCATCCCAAGTGGCATCTGGTCCTGCAGCTTCCAGTCAATGAAGCCCGTGGGATCAGTTAACTGAACTGCAGGTAAATGGTGTCAAGAGCAACATGGCATTTCCTTGAACATGAGAGATGCTGTTCTTGGTTTTTGTGCTGGTGGAGCCTGGGGAGTCCTGCCAGCTACAGGGAATGCTTCCTTTTCTGTAGACTTCCCATCAGCAGTGATTCTGCTGGGGAAGCCTGCACTGGGAAGGTACCTGGAGGAGATTTGGATGTGCTCATGAGGCTGCTTCTGGGTTTTTTTTGGAAGGGGAGAGAGCTTTCGTTTTGCATGTTAAAATAACACTTGTTTTATTTACTACCTTGGAGCGTCCTAAAATACAGTACCTGCCAGAGTGAGCAATTGAATCGTAAGTGAGAGAATACCCCCACTTCTTCACCATGGCCTTGGAGCTTGACCTGTGAAGCCAAGCTGAGCTGCCCCAGGCATTTCAAAGAGCCCCACTGTATAACTGTATTGTTAAGGGAATGTTCAAGTGATCATGCAACCAATTGTCATATGACCCAGGTTTTGTTTAAAATTCAGTCTTGCTTATCACTCTTGTAAAGCCATAAGCCTTGATGTGTGGCCTTGGTCTAAAGTAGGTCCTGGTTGACTAATCTAAGTTACTTGGGAAGTTCTATAAGAATTATCAGTGAAACAATGCCTTCTGGAAGAGAAGCCCTTCCTTGTTGAGCAGTGACATAGCTCCCTGGTTTTAAACCCCATCATCTTTTATACTTGGGCGCACTGCTAAGCCTCGTAATTAGTTAAATCTGCTCCTGTAATCACAAGCTCTCCACACACTCCACTGCGCTGTGACGGATTCTGAGATTTACGTGATTAACTTGGCGGAGGCAGTGGGTGGCTAATTGGATAAGCTTTAATCTTCACACCACCAAAATGAAACGTGGTAAGATCAGAGGAAGTAGGAAGTTGTGCTGTGTTGTGTGGGAAGGTAGTTACCAAACATGTCAAAAAGATTATTGTAACGAGCAGACCAGTTGTCATGACCCGGCCTACAAGAATAGGGCAGATTATTGGGGGGAGGGAGAGAGTGAGCAGTGCAAATTATTTCAAATTTGCTTGCCTGGCCTTTTTTTTCTTTTCTTAACAGGCAGAAATAGTTGTGCTCTTTTTAGGGAGCCAAGAGCTTTATGTTCCATTTGATTTATTTAAGTAATTTTGAAGGATGTTGTTAACCTGAGATTTTGTGTGCTTGCTGATTGAAGAGTGGTTGGACAGTGGAACAGGCTGCCCAGGAAGGCGGTGGAGTCACCATCCCTAGAAGTGTTTAAAAGAAATTTAGATGTGGTGCTCAGGGACATGATTTAAGCACTGAAGGGGTAGATTAGGTTATGGTTGGTGGATTTAAGTTATGGTTGGACTTGATGATCTTCAAGGTCCCTTCCAACCCAGATGATTCTGTGATTCTATGAACTGCTGAACTGGGTGGACTGTAAAGATCTTTGCATCTTCAGAAGTGCCTGGTTTCTGTTGCATTTAGGTTTGTGAACCTGGTAGCAGTCGTAAGACTAGAAAATATATGTGTCTTTAATCCAAAATATGTGTGTCTTTAATGCCCCAAGGCAGTAAAGAAAGCTGAGTGGTGTTAAAAATGCATTTCAGGGATGCGGATCTTTGGCTGTTTGAGCCTGATTTTATACCTTGATTAAATACATGTACATTTTATTGAGGTGCAGAGGACTGGAGTAGAGAAGGATCCCAGCTCCTTGGTTTGGGGTGTTGGCCAGCTGGCTGCTGGCACAGTGGGACAATCTGGACTCCAGTGATGTTCCAGCATCACCAGAGTGGTTATGTGAGATGTTGGGATTTACAATAATCATAGAACTGTAGAATCCCAGACTGGTTTGGGTTGGAAGGGACCTTAAAGACCATCCAGTTCCAAGTCCCCTGCATGGGCAGGGACACCTCCCACCAGCCCAGGTTGCTCAGATCCCCATCCAACCTGCCCTTCAACACTGCCAGGGATGGGGCAGCCACAGCTTCTCTGGGCAACCTGGGCCAGGGTCTCAACAGCCTCAGAGTGAAGAATTTCCTCCTAATCTAATTCTCCCCTCCTCAAGTTTTAAGCCATTAGCCGTTGCCCTCTAGCAAAAATACTTTTTTTTTTTTTTTTTTTTGCTTTGACAAATTCATTGCCTTGAGATGAAGTTGAATGAATATGTTAAAATTTCAAGTGAAAAGTTGAGAGTTCTCCAGTGTAACTGGGTGTGGGTGTGACACGAGTCGTGCTGTGCATTCTGCACAGACCAGGGCGTCTGTTCCCGTGCAGTACGGGTGCTCCAAAGCTCACGTGGCAGAGATTAATTATTTTTCAGCAGTGTTGATTCATCTTACTGCCAGGAGGTGTCTCCCGTTCACCGCAATTCCTCAAGGAACTCCTAGACACAAGTTCTGGATTTTGCTTGAATTACCTTTGCTGGGAAACTTCGGTCACTGCAGAGCTGGAGCTGAGCCCCGGATCCACGGGGTGTCCGCGGATACTTCTGCAGTTATAACTTCTTTGGAGACAGGGTTTTGACCACAAGGTTATTTTGAGCATACATATGTACATGTCACACAGGATTTCACACAGAAAAGGGGCCAGGACTTGATTTAAAAAATAACAAAAACCAACAAAACCATAATTAAAGAAACACGATCAAACAAAAAACCACAAACAAACATAAAAACAAAACCACAAACAAACAAAAAAAAGCCCAAACCCCAAAAACTCAATTAAAAAAAAAAAAAGTCTTAGAGTAATTAAAACATTTTGAGAATTTTCAAGGTCCTAAAAATTGTGTTCTTGTTTTGCTGGTGGAAGTGCTTTGGGGAAGAACAGGGCAAAGGTGAAAATGAGAATAAAACATGGAGTTTAAAAAAAGCAAAAGCAGGAGGCAAAGCCTCTTCCTCCTGTACTGCTGTTGAGGCAGAGATCTGCTGATGGGCTTTTGCCCCAAATGTGCGTTGCAGTTTTGGGTTGCAGTTGCTCGTGTCAGCTCATGTTTTTCTTGTAGGAGAAACCAATGAGAAGCTGAAAGGCAGAAACCAGAAATGTGGTACTGAGAAAAATATAAGTGCCATTTCATTTTACTTCTTGAATTTATGTGTCCTGGCCATGAAAAACTTGTTTTCTGTTGTAACCAGGGAAGTGTCTCCAATGTGAACGACCTCAACTCATAATTCTTTTAAAAGAAAACCCCTAACTTGATGACTCTGTCATTTAAGAGTGTGTGTGCCTGGTTTCTTGTTAATGGTGATGCCAGACTAGGAAACGAAAGAGAGCAACTGTGCAACTTCCATCTACAGTTTTTGAAATGCAGAAATAGCTCCCTGTTAGGTTTGGTCAGAATTGCAGGAAATGGATAGTTTCATCTGATTTGCATCTGTATGAACGTGTTGATCTTGTTACAGTTGGATGGTTTCTGTACCTCAGCGCTTTCATAACAAATGTATGAATAATGTGTGTATTCCCAGAAACTCTGTTCTTTTGGTGGCAGTTCTGAATGCAGTGTGTTACATGTGCAAACAATATTTAATATGAATATATTATACAATATATGGGATACATTTCATCATGTGGCTTAATCGTTCACTGCAAAATTAATTCTTTGCCTGTTTTACCACTTCCAGACAGTGAAGCCTGTGAAACGTCTTTGTTGTTGGAGGTTGTCAGACTCTTCTTGGCTAATTTCTTGAAAGATTGCAGAGAATCACTTGGAGTGCAACAACTATGTTACACTTCTTGTCTTCTTCAGCCAGCCTTGCAAATTGTACAATGAATGGGTTTTGTGGTGAAAATTATTTACTGAAGTTATTTTCAGATCCAGCCTGATGACGGGAGGGGTCAAACAAGGTGTAACCAACCCATGGCTCTTGGAAGAATCTGAGGAAACCAGAGGACTTGGCTTTGACGAGCTCAGGCAGCAGCAGCGAAGGATCATAGAAGGTACAAGAGTCTTTCTGTTTGCTCTGAGCATTGCTAGGACTCTGAGAGGAGCCCTTATTAGAAAGTCAGTACAGTGACTGTGCTGAAGTTTTATTACCTGGAAATGTCAAACGTAATAGTTCCAGGTGGTTGTTTTCTGTATTTGCAGGGGCAGTGTTGTCCTTGCAGTGTTCTTAACTGGAAGTATGTTCTTAAATAAAATTTTCAAAGACCCTAGGGAGCATCCCTGATGCTGACCATAGTCAACCATAGTCATAGTCTTAGTTTGCAGTGGAGATCTCTTGGATTGCTCTGAGGACAGTGATATTACTGCCATACTTCAGGCTGGGAGATGTTAGGTGTCTTCTTGAGTTGGAACAAGGCAAGAACTAACTGTTCTAAAACGGGCCATTAGATTTTTTTCCGTCAGCATCCGTAAGGAATCTCTTGAGTTTGGAAGTGTTGGAAAATCTCAGGCTGAGGCCATCAGGTGGTTAATGAGATAATTTCTATGCAATTAAAATATTAGAGGTGATCAAATGGACTCAGTCTTCAGATAAGGTTCCCCCTCAGTCGGCCTGTGAAACAACATTTAGGTCTACAGTTGAGGAAAATGGCACGGGCTCTGGATGCTCCAGAAGAAACCTCAAGCTCAGTTTTTGATTACACCATGCCTTGGGCAACTGGAGGAATTATGGGGGAGCAGATCTTCAGCCTCTTGGAGAGAAGGGATTCTGGTCATCCTAGACAAGCTTTGGCTTCAGGACAGCAGACAGCTGGCAGGTTTGTTCTGAGCAACATCACTGCTTTGCCATTTGTCAGACCACTGATAGTCCAGCCTCCAGTGTCTTATGTTCTGCTTCTTGACACCTTTGGGCAAGAAGAGCTGCACGTTTTGGTTAAATTGCTTACAAAGGACCACGTGGCATCTGCAAACTGGAATAGCAGAGGTGATGTGGTTCTTGTTGAAGGAGTGTCTTATGGGGGCACATCAAACTGCAGCTGCCCCTTCTGTCCCAGGCTCTCTCCCATGTGCTCTGTGTCCTCTTGCAGTTTGAAAAATCTGTTGGAATTCTTTAGTGTTTGCATCACCTGTTTGTCTTCTGTTAATCTTAAAAGTTTCTTGGAAAATTTAAAAAGGCTAATCAGGGATCTGTGTGTGCCAGAAAATCTCCTGCATTTATGATTGAGTAACAGCTGAATGTTGAATACTTGGATTTTATTTTTTTGGGGGGACCCTCAGCTAAATATCCCAGCCAGAGCAGACAAATTAATTACCCATTATTGACATTATTTGAAGAGTGCTGTTGCCATAAGGATTCGTTTTCATGTTGTTGATGTATTTTTCTTAATACGTTTTAACTCTTTAAGCACAGAGATCTTTTTTCTTCACTTCTTCATCTTCTATGGAACACAGCCTGGCATATCAGTCATTTTTAACATGATTTTATTTCTTTTTCTGGTGCAGAGCAAGATGCTGGACTTGATGCTCTTTCTTCAATCATATCCCGGCAAAAGCAAATGGGGCAGGAAATTGGGAATGAGCTGGATGAACAGAATGGTAAGAACAAGAGACTCATTTTGCCTCGTTTTTATGCAAGACTGTGATTTCCTTTCTTCACTCCTCATACAACTGCCCTGCTTTTTATGTAGAAAGTATTAAGACACTACTGTAAAGCTTTATGTACAAACAATGACTGCAGATTCTATCTGTTCACGACCTGATTGTTTTATTGTGTTTCACTACACACCCTGTTGTGCCTGTACAATGTATAACACTTGGTATGTTTTTATGAAGCCTGCCTTTTGAAAGAAAAGATTGGTGATTCTTTGTATGAAATAGAAGATTAATTTGGTACTTGATCTTTTGCATTTTTCAGTTTTGTGTTGGTTTTTCTGGTAAGCTCTTGTGTGTTGCTGGGTCTCACTTGAGCATTCTTATTCTGTCTTTCCTTATTAATTAAATGGAAAAGTCTTGAGCCAGTGATTAAAGGAGAAGCCTTATATTGTTTGCTGCAAATGATTAGGATTTTTAAGGTTTCATGGCATTGAATGCAGGATCAAATTAAGTGCAATATTGAACTAGAAGAGTACCTATTTTCTTTAAATGAACCAGTATCCAAATGGTTGAATTGCTCTCTGGTTAAATATGCTTTGTTACTCACTTAATTGTTTGCATGACATAAACTGTCCCTAGGAGAGCAGATTCTCCAGCCTTTCTGACTTTTTCATTTCTTACATTATGGTAATAGTTCAATTAGAGCCTTGGAACCCTGCCAGCTTTCTCCCTTGCACAAAGGCTTCTGCCATATGGTTTATCCTTGGGTTGTGTTGTACTTAACCACTGAGAAGGTAAATGCCCTTTACGCTTAAATGGGCATCTTCCTGCCCCCCCGTGTTTTTCTCTGCTCAGAGTGAGGGGGTTCCCATCTTAACAATCATGTAACATGAAGCACTACCTGGGAGCTCCCTTCCTACTGGGAGTAGGGGAGAGGAGGGCCTTGCACACATGGCTAAGTCCAGGTGGGATGTGAGATGTCTAGAACATGTCTTGTTTATTAATCTTGAGGTTGTTAAGAAATGGTTTGCTCAGCTGGGAGAAACTGTGCTTAGTGGTCTTGTCATATTTTGATCCTCTGTCTCATGTGAGTAAAGACATTTTCAATTAGAAATCTTGGTTTCATAAGTTTCTTCTATTAACTGTTGTTTAAAAAGTCATATTAATTGCTTTTTTTTGCTCTAAATAGAAAACAGGTGGGAAGCATGAGCATGTTTACTCATTCTCTGTGAAACTTTGGTTCCTCATCAGGAAAATACATGATCAGAGTCTCATTTCTCTCTGTAGGGGAAGGTTCCCTAGTCCTTATGTTTTCAGGACCCTTAAGGTAATGTGTATTGTACCATCTCATTTCCGCATGATTGTGCCAGACTTTTTCTTGCAGCAAAGCCTTGAAACATCTGTGAAATTGGGAATGCACTTAACCTTCTTTTTTACAAATTGTGCAAATAATGCCAGTTTTGTTTGACTTGCTTGTCTTACAGGTAGTTACAAAGCCCAGAGCAAAATTCCTAATGTTCTCATGTTCTCTTTTTTGAGCTACAAGGCAGCTCTTCCTCAAAAGATGGAAACTCAGAGTAAGAAGTGGTGAGGACTGCCTGTACTGTCTGTGGGCCAGATCCTGGGGGAAGAGAAAATGTAGAGTTGCTTCTGATTCTCACTGGCCCAGAATCATGAGAATAAAACCTGCCAGCTGTGGAGAATGTGTCATGTGTAGATCTTTAAGCAGCCTGAAAGAGGTGGGAAGTAGTGTGACTCGTAGAGGTGGAGGACCAGGTCACTCAGCCATTGGCTTCCTCACTGCTGAGCAAGTGGAACTCCCTTGTTTTCTCTGACTTTATGCAGTCCTTTTTGTGTGTGTGAGTGTGGGTGATATGGTTGGGTGTTGAGTTGCCACTTGGCACGTTGGAAAAGCTGAAATCCGTACCAGTGTTTTCCAGTGGCTGCTTTCCTTCTGCACATCTTATTTTATGCCCTGTGCTTAAAAACCTGCAGACTTTCCTCGGGCGCTCTGCCCATCTCATGTCATTGTGACATGGTCAGGATGATGAGGATAACTGCCCTGTAATTTCTCCTCATTGGATTCTCTCTCCTTCCTAGTGCTGAGTGATAATGGCATTGTCTGCATTGTGGGGAAGTTTGTCTTCATTAAGTACTGCATCAATATTTCTTTTTAGCTGAGTAAAGTTTTCCAACAAATTGCTGGTTTCTGTGGGCAGCTGGACTTACACTTCCCTCACTTGCTTTGGACATTCCCACCTTCTGCAGCTGATGAAATGCCTTTAGCTTTTTCTGGCATTATGATAAAATATATGGCTTAATTCAAAAGTAGCTGGTAGTATCTGATAGTTAATGAAACTGACTTTAGGGATCTGGGGAGCTGTACTTATTTTCCAGACAATCTGTTGTTCAGACCTGCTTTTTCCCTTCCCTGGCAGCTCCAGCTCTCCCTTCAGCTGAGGAATTTGCACTTCCCAGCTCTTGGAGGTGGCTGGAGGCATTTTCCCTGACATGCCAGTTGGTGTAGCTGTGCATTTGCAGATGCACAAGTATTGGAGGCATCACAATTAGGTATGCAAAGTTTACTTCTCCAGCGGACTTGGTATGTGTAAATTCTTTTGTGTTTGTTAAATGACTGAAAGATGGTTAAACTTTGCTTTTAGGAGGGTGGTTACTTGGCAGTATCTATTTTTACTCCTCTGGTGGGCTGACAAGCAGGGCTGAAGAGCAAGGTTTGATATTTGTAAGGGGACGTCCTGCACACTGACCTGGCTGTGGTAGAGTGCTGAGCTCTCCAGAAGAATAAGTCCTTCTCCTGGGACAGGAGCCTTGTGGGGCTCCAGATCCCTGCAGCACCCAAGGAGCTTTTAGCCCATCCCTCTGAGGTTCTTCTGTGATCAGCAGATACCAGCAGGGACTGCTCAGGTGTGGTCCCTCCAGCCTGCCTGACACCTCCACCTCAGGACAGGACATGACATATTCCAGAAAAGCTCCTTTTTCTCCACCAGTGGTAACTTGAGCAGACTGGGCTGGAGGGGACTGACTAGCAGACATCTGTCCTGAGTAGAAGATAGAATCCCAGACTGGTTTGGGTTGGAACAGGCCTTAAAGATCATCTCGTTCCAGCACCCTGCATGGGCAGGGACACCTCCCACCAGCCCAAGCTGCTCCAAGCCCCATCCAACCTGCCCTTCAACACTGCCAGGGATGGAGCAGCCAGAGCTTCCCTGGGCAACCTGGGCCAGTGTCTCACCACCCTCACACTAAGTAATTTCCTTCTCATGTCCAACCTAAATCCCCCCCTCTTCCAGTTTTAATCCATTCCCCCTTGTTCTCTCACTGCAAGCCTTGTCCAGGGTTCCTCCCCAGCTTTCCTGCAGCCCCTTCAGGCACTGGAAGGTGCTCTAAAGTCTCCCTGGAGCCTTCTCTTCTCCAGACTGAACACCCCAACTCTCTCAGCCTGTCTCCAGAGCAGAGCTGCTCCAGCCCTTGGATCATCTCTGTGGCCTCCTCTGGACTCTCTCCAAGAGCTCCATGTCCTTGCAATGTTGCGGGTTCCCATCTTTTGATTTCATTGTGATGCATCCAAGTTTTAATTGGAGTCTCATGTAGTTTTTTACTCAGATTCTCAGTATAGCTCTGGCCTTGAGGTTTTATGGCTCTGCTTGAAGCTTGTTGTCCTTCTCAAACCTCATGAGTGTAGTAGTTTGCACTGATGAGCAAAGTAGAAGCAGGTTACCAGGAGACATTGTTTTTGCCAGCCTCAGGAGTCTGCTAGCACTGGGAGAGATGTAGGATTAGCAAAAGAATTTTCCCATCATTAATTCCAAATTTGGCCCCAGAAAGCTTTCTGTAATCCTTTCATCTATTAAAAAAAAAACAACAAAAAACCAAAAAACCCCACAAAAACCAAAAAACAACCCCCCAAAAAAACTAAAGAAAGAAAATAGTGTAAATGGCCCCTCAGGTGTGGTCCCTCCAGCCTGCCTGACACCTCCACCTCAGGACAGGACATGACATATTCCAGAAAAGCTCCTTTTTCTCCACCAGTGGTAACTTGAGCAGACTGGGCTGGAGGGGACTGACTAGCAGACATCTGTCCTGAGTAGAAGATAGAATCCCAGACTGGTTTGGGTTGGAACAGGCCTTAAAGATCATCTCGTTCCAGCACCCTGCATGGGCAGGGACACCTCCCACCAGCCCAAGCTGCTCCAAGCCCCATCCAACCTGCCCTTCAACACTGCCAGGGATGGAGCAGCCAGAGCTTCCCTGGGCAACCTGGGCCAGTGTCTCACCACCCTCACACTAAGTAATTTCCTTCTCATGTCCAACCTAAATCCCCCCCTCTTCCAGTTTTAATCCATTCCCCCTTGTTCTCTCACTGCAAGCCTTGTCCAGGGTTCCTCCCCAGCTTTCCTGCAGCCCCTTCAGGCACTGGAAGGTGCTCTAAAGTCTCCCTGGAGCCTTCTCTTCTCCAGACTGAACACCCCAACTCTCTCAGCCTGTCTCCAGAGCAGAGCTGCTCCAGCCCTTGGATCATCTCTGTGGCCTCCTCTGGACTCTCTCCAAGAGCTCCATGTCCTTGCAATGTTGCGGGTTCCCATCTTTTGATTTCATTGTGATGCATCCAAGTTTTAATTGGAGTCTCATGTAGTTTTTTACTCAGATTCTCAGTATAGCTCTGGCCTTGAGGTTTTATGGCTCTGCTTGAAGCTTGTTGTCCTTCTCAAACCTCTTGAGTGTAGTAGTTTGCACTGATGAGCAAAGTAGAAGCAGGTTACCAGGAGACATTGTTTTTGCCAGCCTCAGGAGTCTGCTAGCACTGGGAGAGATGTAGGATTAGCAAAAGAATTTTCCCATCATTAATTCCAAATTTGGCCCCAGAAAGCTTTCTGTAATCCTTTCATCTATTAAAAAAAAAACAACAAAAAACCAAAAAACCCCACAAAAACCAAAAAACAACCCCCCAAAAAAACTAAAGAAAGAAAATAGTGTAAATGGCC